GCGGCCCCGGCCCCCGCTCCGGCCCCTGCAGCCTGTAAGGGCGCGGCCAGCGGCACGGGCGCCAAGAAGGCGAGCTCGGGGCTGCGGCGGCCCGAGAAGCCGCCCTACTCGTACATCGCGCTCATCGTCATGGCCATCCAGAGCTCGCCCAGCAAGCGCCTGACCCTCAGCGAGATCTACCAGTTTCTGCAGGCGCGCTTCCCCTTCTTCCGCGGCGCCTACCAGGGCTGGAAGAACTCGGTGCGCCACAACCTCTCGCTCAACGAGTGCTTCATCAAGCTGCCCAAGGGGCTCGGGCGACCCGGCAAGGGCCACTACTGGACCATCGACCCGGCCAGCGAGTTCATGTTCGAGGAGGGCTCTTTCCGCCGCCGGCCGCGCGGCTTCAGGCGGAAGTGCCAGGCGCTCAAGCCAGTGTACCACCGCGTGGTCGGCGGCCTGGGCTTCGGGGCTTCACTGCTGCCCCAAGGCTTCGACTTCCAGGCGCCCCCCGCCGCGCCGCTCGGCTGCCCGGGCCAGGGTGGCTATGGAGGCCTCGACATGATGCCGGCGGGCTACGAAGGGGGCGCGGGTGCCCCGGGCCACGCGCACCCTCACCATCATCACCACCACCACGTCCCGCATATGTCGCCCAACCCGGGCTCCACCTACATGGCCAGCTGCCCGGTGCCCGCGGGGCCGGGGGGCGTCGGAGCAGCGAGCGGCGGCGGCGACTACGGTCCGGACAGTAGCAGCAGCCCGGTGCCCTCGTCGCCGGCTATGGCGAGCGCCATCGAATGCCACTCGCCCTACACAAGCCCCGCGGCGCACTGGAGCTCGCCCGGCGCCTCGCCTTACCTCAAGCAGCCGCCCGCGCTGACGCCCAGCAGCAACCCAGCGGCTTCGGCCGGCCTGCATGCCAGTGTGCCATCCTACTCGCTGGAGCAGAGCTACCTGCACCAGAACACCCGCGAGGATCTCCCAGGTAACGCGGTGGGAGGGGGCACCCGGCGCGGGAGTGGGCAGCATGTTCACGGGAGGGAGCGCGAAGGGCACCACAGGCCCCCAGAGCCCTCAGATCCCGGAGGACACAATGGTCACCGCTGTGCTGGAGCTCACTGGTGTCCCACCGCAGCCTGACTGTGGCTGAGAGACCCTGGCCTTTGAGGACTTTGGCCAAGGAGCTGTCTGGTTCCTTTCCTAGTTTTGTTTTGTTTTTGTTTTTGTTTTTGTTTTTGTTTTTTTTTTTTTTACAGTTCATTTTGTTTCTAAATTTCAGGGAGGGAGAGTTGTGGGTTCTGGGCTCTGGACAGGAGCAGGGAAAGCCCATGGGGACTCAGGGACCTTCACTAGAGCTTCTGTCCAGGGCTCAGGACTGAGCCTTGCACTGCGACTCCACGAGAGCTGTACCCATGGTCATTTGCAGCTGTGTCCTCGCTGGCTCAGATTCTGTGGTTTGGAGATGGTGAAAATGCATTGACTAGTGGGAAGCCTGGAAAGTGGAGGGGGGGGGTCCTGGACAATTGGAATATGTGGCCCTCTTTATTTGGGGAGAGGAGATAGACCCTTGTTTATTAACCCCTGGTGTAGACACTAAAATCTTCTGGCCTGCAGGGCACAGTGAGGCCCAGAGAACTCCGTGCTCCGTGGCCTTCCTCCTCATGAGAAAACAGGCACAGGGTGACCCAGGCCTTCTACGTGGGTGACTCCCAGGGCAACCGGGGCATCAGGGCCAGAAATGGGCCCAAGATGTTGGTTCTCTGAACAGAGAAATTTCCCAAATATGCCTTTTAAATGCAGGTCTCAGAGGTTAACTAAACAAAGACCGTCTCGGCAGGCAGGACCACACCAGAGAGGATTTGAGCCTGACTTAACCCACCGAGAGTGGGCTTGTTCCATTTTATGGGAATTTCATGAAGCAACCTGAACAGACAACCCTCAACTCTTATTTTTCTTTTCTCTTTCTGAAAAGTTATCTTCTCGCCCGGTTGTCGGTCTTTCCCTAGCAGTGGGCTGGATTCCTGCGGCCCTGCCTGAGGCCCTGAGGACAGGCCCTGCTCAACCTGAACCCAGATGGGAGTCTCCATGGCTTTGGAAAACTCTAGGGAGAGACAAGGGTGTGAGCAACCCAGCCTCGATCTCTGAGGCTGCCTACTCCCACGACCAGGAAAAGCCTTGGACACCCCCTGGCTTGGCTCTCCAGCAAAGGCATTCTCCTTCCCTTGTCCCGGCCCTGTCTTTCCTCCTCTACAGGGGCTTGAGGAGGGCCTGAGTCCAGAGCACCTCTCCTCACCTGTAGGACCTGGGGGGCCCTCCAGCACAGGGCACCCAGGGCGTATCCTTGGACAGCGACCTCCGAGCTAGGCCCCACGGGCCTCCTGCAGGAGCTTACCTGCCCTCACAGTCCCTGTACCCCCACCTCAGCCACATTGTGGTGAGGACTGCACACCTGCCAAAGGACCCTGCATCAGCTGCTGCCTTGCACCCACAGGGCTCACAGTCACCCTCCACCAGCAGCTCAGTGGCTCCATAGGTTCCAGGGTGCGGGTGCAGGGCACAAGCCCTGCCGACCACGGGAATGGCTTTCTTGCCCTGAAAACCCAGCCGGGCCTGGCAGGAACTCATGGTACAAGCTGCCCAGGGCTGGGGTCAGGGTAGAGTTCCCTGCCAGAGTTCCTTGAGCCACAGCAACCAGGCCTTCTGCTCAGGCCACAAGAACGTAAAAGCAAAAACTGGGGCAGGCCAGCCAGTTGGAGGGGACTGGGACAGACCTGGTCCTTGCTGCCAGCCTGCGGCTCCCTCAGAGATTCCTGCAGCACACATGCCCCCAACTGTGGAGGTCCTCTCTGCTCCCTGAAGTCCTAGCTTCTCTATGGAAGCCTAAGACTTTAGGGCCCGTGGGGCGGGAGAGACTTGCTTTTCACTCCTGTCTTTTTCTTTCTTTTCCTCCTGGGATTAGTTCCTATCACCATCCTGTTCACCATCTCTGTTGGCACAGAGAACAGTTCTCCACTTCCCAAATCTCTGCTGGGAGGGTTGGTTGGGAAATACAGATCAAAGGAGAGGTGAAGGCAGCACTGTGGTTCTGAGCAGGAAGCTCCATCCTCCCACAACTTGGATTCGGGGCCCAGGACCTTGGGCTCATCGCTGACCAAACCAGGCCTGGGAGTGAGATGCAGAAATTCAGGGATACAGAATATTCCTCAGGGAGGGTCTTTTGCATCAAACCACAGCAAAAGCATGGCTCCAGCCAGCATGCAGCGTTGAAAGCTTGACCCGGAGACACTTGCAGAGAGGGGGTTTTAGCAATGGATCCAGTGGCACCACTGCTTCTGCGCCGAGTCAGAAACGACACCTCAGATGGGAATTTCAGCAATAGTACACCCCATTCTCAGTGAGGGCATTTATCTCTGAAGAGGTTTTTCTCTTCCCCTTTTTTCTTTCAGTGGGTCTGCCCCGTTACCAACATCACTCCGCTCCAGTGTGCGACAGAAAGGATTTTGTCCTCAATTTCAACGGCATTTCTTCTTTCCACCCCTCGGCCAGCGGGTCCTACTATCACCATCACCACCAGAGTGTGTGTCAGGATATTAAGCCCTGCGTCATGTGAGTTAACGGATGCCACCTCTCCCCTCTCCTCTCCTCTCCTCCTCTGCTGAGGGGCAGATCGGCACTTTGAAGAGGACAGCAGCGACAGATGACACACTCCCGTATGTGCATGAGACAGCAGTAAGTAGCACCCCCACCGCTTTTAGCAGAACCCCAGGATCTTCTTCTACCGCTGGAGGAGGGGAGCCCTAGGCAGGTAACGTCCCAAACCAGGGAGAGCCTGAAGCCAAACCAAGGAGATGGTGGAAAATTGCCACGCGTAAGACACAAACTCGTAACTCTGGGATCTTCATTGCCTTCTGTAATCAGGGTCTGAAAAAGCAGACAGGTCGTGTGTATGTGTGTTTTTCTTTATCTATGAAAAACTTGTGTGCTTTTCAAAAAGGCAGTGTGCAAAGCACAGGCGCTCAAGAAAGCCTTATCCCGCCGCCCGGCTGGCTAGGCAGGAGAGTGGCTCGGCCCAGACACCCCGCTTGGATACAGGTGCCAAAGAACACTATGAAGAGACCATGTAGAACCAACGCGTCTAGTTTAAGAAACCTGTTCTCAGTATTGTGACAGTACAATGTTTTTACAAGGTTGTTTTCTACCACCATATTCTAAAGATATTTTTATGATCTTCGTGTATACTCACACTTTGCTTGTATTTTAAAAGGAGGATATATTTGCACTTATGTATACTTTTACAGTTTGCCAAAATATTTTGATGTAAAATTTTTTTCAATAAAATGTATATAACAATAGTTGTTTTAAGGACCAGTTTCCTTCCATGAATGCCAGCCTGGGCCACCGCAGCACCGCAGCTCAGTCCAGCACCCCGGTTGTGTAGTTGGCGCGCGGCAGGGGGTCTGGGCCTGGAGGCACGTAGGGCTTCTTCCTGGGGGTTTCCTGAGGAGCCAGAGGCCAAAGGAGAGCTGACCCTTTGTTATTCCTTCCTGTACTTGGAGCCCACTTTTTCTGCCTAAGCGGAAATCAGAAGGTGAGAACTGAAAAAAGAAAACCAGGCAACATAACGATAAAGAGAGGCAAGAGTCCGATGGATGGGAGTTCGGGGCTCCTTTTGTGTTCTTTCCTGTGCCCCCAAAGCTCTGCGCTGGCCCTCTCCTCTTTCCCACTTGCTGCGGTGGCCATTGCCCGGCCCGATGTCCAGCGGCGGCGACCAGGGTTCAAAGCTGGGCCCGACCCGCGCGGCCCTTCTCGGCTGGGCTTCCCCTGCAGAAGCGCTCGCTGCACGAGGCGGCGGAGAGGAACCAGAACCGAGCGGCTCTGTCCCGGCCCACCCTCCTGCCTGTCGGTACGCGGGACCCGCGGGACCGCAGTCGAGGTGTGCTTTGCTCTGCAGCTCCGGGCCGCAGTTTTGGTTTTGCTTTTGCCTCCTGGGTGGGAAACTCGCTTTTGTCTCCGCCGCTCCGCTGCTCCGATAGCTCGCAGATCTTCCTCCCGCTCCGGGGTTTGTATTCACGGCAGGTTTCGGGCCAGACCCAGCTGGTCAACCTTCTCCTAATCCGTAGGCTTCCTATCTGCAGTTCCCAAAATTAAGCGGTGATTTAATTTTATTATTATTTTTCTCTCTGTTATCCTATTTGCATTGAAATGGTTTTTTTTTTTTTTTTTTTTTTTTTTTTTTTTTTTTTTTTTTTTTTCTTTTCCTTTTCTTGTCTTTTATACAGAGCTCCTCGGGGGCCTGCTATAAATTATGAAGTCAGTCGCAGAGTTTGCGCCGACCACAGTGCTGTGTTTACATTCCTCCTGAGGCAGCCGGCGTGGTCGTAATTTATATCCTAAACACTCGGACGTAACTTGTTTATACAGAGTGACAGCGCGGGGGCGCGGGGCGGCGGAGCGGGCGCCCCCTGGCGGCCCAGCACCGCGCGGCCCGGACCTGGCCCGGGCCTGGAGCGCGGACGCCGCCGCTGCCGCCGCCGCCGCGGCCGACCTTCGCGGCTTCAGACCTCGGGCTTCCTCGCCCCGGGGCTCTTCGCTCTGATGCCTCGTCCCGAAACGTAGTCAGGCTTCACGGACAGCAGGGCTTCGCGAGGGCCGAGATCCTCGCCGGCAAAGTGCGCTGCATTTCCGGATTGCTCTGTGCAACCTTATTTCATCTCTTTTAAAATCAAAATCTTTTTTTCTCTGACTGTCCTTCTCTTAAAGATAGGAGCATATACATTCAAACGCATTTCTTTTTCCTTTGTTTTTTTCCTTCTTTCTTCCACTCTTTCTCTCTCTCCTTTCTTTTTCTCTTTTTTTGGGAAAAATATTCAGTGCTTAGTTCTAAATGTCCCTTTAACGCTGAATAAACTCTTTAAAAGTGTTGTGGCTTTAGAAGGGACAGTAAATGAAGTAATTCAGTGAGGGGTCTCCCCCTTTCAGGACACTGGGGTCCTACTCAGAGCAATGCATACCCCAAGTGTGGGATCCACACCCCAGGCCACACCCCACTCTTGCCTCAAATGTAGTTCGAAAGCCCAGAGTTGCCGCACTGACAGAAAAGATATTGCATGAAAGGACAGTTGATTCTTCTGTGGAAGTTTTATTGGTTTTTTTGCTTGTGTGTTTGTTTTCGCTTAGTGCTGTACGGTAAAGGGGGAGGCACTAGGTAAACTCTGAGCTTAGGAGGACTGGGGTCTGGCTCCGTTCCTAACCAGGGCTCCCTTACCCTTCCGTCCCCTGCGGTGTGAGCCACGTTCACCGCCTGCCCATCACTGTAACAAATGGCCGAGATGATCCATTCCAGAGGAAAGGCTTATCCAGGCTCAGGCTGGCAGGTTTCTGTGTCAGCCCCGTGGCACAGGGGGGGCTTGTGGCTGGACACGTTGCTGGTCTCAGCCAGACAGCTGCGGAGGGCAAGGGAAACGGGTACCCACCCCTGGGAGAGTTGCGTGGGTGCCCTCTGGGCTGGGGCTGAGCCTGTGCCGCATGGGCCTTTGCAGGCATCCCATAGGTCATCTATGGAGCCCGTTTGGAGCTTAAACCCCATCTGTCTTCTGATTTGGGTTCTTTGTGTGCATTTCTGGTGCTGACCAGGGGACGATGGTGTGATAGGCAGGGTGATTCTCAAACCAGAGAGGCGTGGAGTCCCTAGGGCTTGGCTGCCACGCTCTGTGGAGCCTACCCCAGCTTCAGGTTCATGGGCTTGGGGCAAGGGAAGGGGAGACAGAGGGAAGCAGAGAAAGAAAAAGTGGAAGAAAAGAGAAAGGATGGAAAAAGGAAGAGGAGGAGGAAGAGAAGGAGGAGGAGAAGGAGGAAGAGGAGGAGGAGGAGGAGGAAGAGAAGAAGAAGAAGAAGAAGAAGAAGAAGAAGAAGAAGAAGAAGAAGAA